CAAGGTCTCACAGAGACTGAACTGAAAACCAGGAAGCCTGGACGGGACTTACATTGGCCCCATGCATATATGTGATGGTTGTGTAGCTTGGTTGTCTTGTGGAACTCTTAACAATGGGAGCAGGAGCTGACTCTGAAGTTTTTGCTGGCCTCTGGGACCCTTATCCTCATACTGGATTGACTTGTTCAGCCTTAATACATGCTTAGTATTATTGTAACTCCATATGTCATGTTTTGTTGATATCTATGTGTGGCCTACCCTTATAAGAATAGAAACAGAGAAGTAATGAATGTGGGGGACAGAGGTGGGGTGGGGGAGAGAGGCTGGAGGGAGAGGAGGGAGGGGAAACTGCAGATGGGATCTGGAAAAGAGAAGGAAGGAAAGGAAGGAAAGAAGGAAGGAAAAAAGGAAAGAAGGGAGGAAGGAAGGAAGGAAGAAAATGAAAAGGAAAAGACAGGTTTCCATCAAAAGATGTCATCAAGGACATTTATTGTTTACCACATATAGTAAAGAGATGACTTTTAAAAATGACCCTGAAAATACACAGGGAATAAATTTATGATTACAAGTGATCCATCTTGACAGCCACCCCAGCAGTCATATAAACAGCAATTGAATCACTAAACTAATAAAGAACCAGAGAAATGTGATCCTGGGAACATGGGAGGGAAACAAATGTCTAATAAAAGGAGAAATCAGAACCCATTGCTGAGTACATTTAGATGGAGTTTTATACTGAACACATTTCCTTTTTCTCTTTCTGAGTTCTGATGTTCTGACAGAAAATCCCGCTTCAATGGCTCTTCTTCATTCTCTTCATCCAGGCAGCAAGTGTGCCTCTGCCGAGGAAACCTTTGTAGTCCAGCCCTGAAAGAGCTGCTGTGGAGTAAAACTGGGTATAAAACTGTGCTTTCATCAACACCTGGGAGGCACAGACTTCCTGAGCAAAGACAATGCTTTGTAATATCCACCGCCATCAAGCTACCAAGAGAAGCTCAACCGTGCATTGGGCCAAGTCACAAATAAAAATTTGTGTCAAAGCAGCGCCACACACTTTACAGGAGGACACTCAGAAATTCACGTGGTTGCTGACTGGATCTGAGTAATAGTTGAAGGGGGGAAGGCAACCATGGAAGAATAGAGGAACTCCTAACAAATGAGGAGAGATCAGTGGGCTACAGCCCAGAGGCATGCATCTGAGTGATAATAACTCAAGCATGCCTCTAACTCCAGCATCCCCTCTTCCCACCACACATGACTTTCTTGAAATTTGTGAATGGAGATGGAGAATTTGTGTACAAACACTTGAGAAGTAATAGCTTGATTAGTAAAATACCAGATAAAGTCGTCAGGGGAAGGAAAGCAATAGCGACAACTAAATGCTGGGAAAGGAGATCATGATAATTTTTGATCAATTCCTGTCTTTTCACTGCTGAATAAAATTGCCATTACTACTGCATGTTTCCAATGATTAATTTTCATTGGCTTTTGGACCTATAATAAAATTATGTATTTTATACCAATTCAGTCTCAATTTACTATCTCATACAATGAATTCTATTTAAAATGCTTTTGATTCTCTACATAAGGGAAGGAGGAAAGCTCATAAGAGTCAGAGGCAGTGGATGGCTCCAAGGATGTAGAAACTTCTAGAAACAATAGGACTGGTACACATATGAATTTGTGGAGACTGTGAAAGCATATCTAAGACCTGCACAGGCTCAAACCAGACAAAATCCCACTCTGGAAAGGAAAGTAGACAAAAATCCCACCCTTATCCAAGAAGTTACTTGCAACTGATAGCTGCTTGGAAAAAGAAGTCAGTTTTCTTCAATGGAGTGACACTGGGTTTATCACACAAAATCCAGGCCAGGCGCTATGTCCTAGAGTTTATGTGCAACACAAAATAGACCCTTTTTGTTTTTTTCCGTGTGCACTTTTGTTTTGTTTTGGTATTTTTGTCTTTTTTAAAGTTTGTTTTGGTTATTTTGGGGTTTTGTATATTTTTTTAAGATAGAGAGAAACATGAATTTGAGTTGTTAGGGAGGTAAAGAGAATCTGAGACAGTTTAGGAAAGGGGAGAGAATATGATCAAAATGGATTGTGTAAATGTTCATTCTTCTCAATGAATGCTTTATATATAACATGCATATGTATGTGATGCATACTTATGATTGCTCCAAATTAAGATTTAAAACTGTAGCAGTGTTTCATTTCATCATTTCAACTTGCTACAAAAACTTGGGAATGTATCTCCCATAAAAAAAAAATAGCCAAAGAAGCAGTCAACTTTCTTAGCACTGTCTTTAAAAGACTTCTTGGACTTCATGCTTTCTTTCATTTGTAAACTCCTATGTCCCTTTCTCTGGAATAACATCAGTCGCTGAACTTTCTTGAAGATGCTACCTTTGGCTGAGTCTTCAGAGAGATTTTTCTTTTAAAGACTGGATATATAAAAGTGGTACCATCTTATCAAGGTTTTGTCATTTGGTGGTAATTTATTTTTACTGGCTGTTTATTTCTGTTCATGTACCGTTTACTCCCATTTAAAAAAATAACACTTATCAGCATCAGATATTCCATTAGGCTATGTGGTTTTAAAATATGAAGGAAGCAAAATTTCTGCCTTCCCCACTCAGAACCTGCTTGAGAAGACAGAAGTATAAAACAACATAAAACAAAAACTAGATAAACAACTGGCCACTGGTGAAGGATGCTATTGAAAGAACAACAAATTATTCTGAACATTAGAGACATAGTTACCTTGTCAATAGCATATAAATGGTATAAAAATAATGAGGAGAGGAAGCAAATAAATAAATTAGGGCTGATGATATTCTCCACCAGAGACAGACTGCCTATCAAAACCCCCAGGATCACACAAGAGATGCCTTCTTTTGAGTTGTTCTTAGGGTTCTAGTTAGGATTACTATTGTGCTAAAACACCAAGATCAGAAGCAAGTAAGGGAGGAAAGGTTTTATTTGGCTTATACTTCCATACCATAGTCACTGAAGGAAGTCAGGTCATGAACTCAAGAAGGGCTAAAACCTGGATGCAGGAGCTGATGGGCAATGAGGGGGTGCTGCTTATAGGCTTGCTTCCCATGGCATGTTCAGCTTGCTTTCTTACAGAACCCAAATCCACCTTCACAAGGTGGTCCCACCCATTATGGACCAGGCCTTCCCACATTAATTGCTAATTAAGAAACTGTTCTACAGGCTTCCCCTACAGTTCAAACTTATGGTTGCAGTTTTCTCAACTGAGGCTCCCTATTCTCCAGTTAGTCTAGCTAGCGTTGAGTTGATAGAAAACTAGCCAACATAGTCAGGGTTGTCCAAGAGATTTGCAAAACATAGAAGCTATTGGTTTTGCCTTTGGTTGCCACTCCCCCAGGATTTGGAAGATAAGTCCCTACTGTTGATGATGCCATGCGCTTCAGAAACAGGGCCCAGAGGCCCTTGACCTAGAGTTGTCCTGAACATTTCTTTCCTCTGGACTAGACAAGCAATCATCCAAAAAGGCGACAATCAACACTCCTATCGGACCATAACATCTATGAACCACAACAACCACCACATCAACCAGCATGGCTCCATAACCTTAAGGGTGTAGGTATGGCATGTCTTCCTTGGCAGTAACTAAACGCTCTCCAATTGGAGTTAAGACATCCTCAACAGGAGGGACCCATACTTGGTACAGGAAGCTTAGCCCAACTACCCAGGGCTATTGAAGTCATGGATTGTGGAAGAAAAACTACAACCACCACTTTAGCAAAACACCATAATCACTATCAACACTCTAAATATTTATCTTTAGAACCACAGACAAAGTGTAGTTCTCACCTCGAATCAAAAGAATTTCTCTTAGCAACAGACTGAGTCAACAACAGAAAACTACAACAAAAGTTGTTGGGGCCCCTACAAAACAGTTCCTATACCTACGGCTCAGTAAACACAGAAGAAGATGAGGTAGAGTTTAAAAGGAAGAGGATCAGGGAGTTTGCCGTGAGACTGCATTAGATCGTAGTGTTAGAAGTGATATCCATACAGTCTCTTTACCATGACATGTGCTAAAGAAGAACAACAGTAGATCAACCAAACAGGACAGGAGAAAGCGCACAAGGATTTAGCCCCTAAAAAAGAACTGCAGGAAGCTAAGGAATGCTAAGATGTGAGAAATAGTCTTCTCCAGAGAGAAACACACCAATTGGTTATCCAGTGCCATACGCTCAGTGCTGAACACATATACAATTAGCACTATACAGACTGAGCAGATTATATGTAGGAAAAATATTTATGAAAGCATGCAGTAACAAATAATGCTACAAGAAACCAGAAACTTAAGAGAGAAAAAGGGTACATACGAAGGTTTGGAGGGAGAAAATGTAAGGGAGAAATTATGTAACTATTATAATAAAAATTAAATGAATGCAATATATGGATCTCATTTTGATTATTAAAATAAAACAGAAAACATAAAAATGTGATATATGTATGAAAATGGAATATTTATGGATATTTGATATGATGTAATTACTGCTATTTTATAGTGTTATAATAGCACTCTATTTAATAAAAAAGACATATCCTTCTCTTTTTTGAGATACTTCCTAAAATATTTAGGAATAAATGGAATATGCCTGAGATTTTCTTGAAATGACAAGAGAATGAATAGAGGCATAGAAGAAATAAGACTGTCCATGAATTGAGGATTGTTGATATCTTGAAAAGCACATGAATGTTTGTTGTAATGTTCTGTCTACTTTTATAAATATTCAATATTTTCCATGATAAGAAGAATTTAAAAATAGACAAAAGGGATATTACTAATGCAAATATATTTGACATTTAAAATATAATGGGCATGAGCTATTTATAAGTAATCATCAGATGAAGTGACTAAAATACTCCTCTCCCATTTAATTTTTAATTAAAAACAGTTTAAAAATAGCCAGTTAATGCTTGCTATGCACAAATTATTAGTCTCTAAAGCATCCTACCCTGTGTACATCATTCTGCTTCTGAACTGCTGCAAAATCACCAGCAATAGGTGCCTGCCGGCTCAATTCATCGTCTTTCAGCTGTAGCCACACAAGAAGTTCCTGAAGAGAAAGATGCAGACGCTTCCACTGGTCAGAACTGGCTTCCAAATGGGACCTAAAAAAGAACGGGAGAATACTGTAACAGAATATCTAGAAGTATAATTGATGATTCTGTTAATTCCATTTCATTGGTTAAATATTGCCCCAATACACACCTACTTTGAGCTATATAGCACAGCTGTCAATAACCATATAGCTACCTGATTTTACAAGTTATAAACAAGGTGGGAGCATTCCAATGACAATTTTCAGGCAAGACCACATTCTGCCATATGTTTCTTTCCATATGCAGAATTCTGAGACTTTTGGAATGGCCTGCATGCTGGAATCAAATGTTTTCCTATCCTGTTTCAGCCAATGATTTTTTGATGTTTCTAGTAGAAAACGTCTTAGACCCAGTGACTAATAAAACCCCTTTAGTTTTCATGTGACTCATACTGGAATTCTTTCTGTTTTGAGAAATGGAAAGGTCTTTCCCCACACTCCGACTTTTCCATGTCTTCCACCCTGGGCAGTCTTTCCCTTTGACTCCTTTAGTCTGGTATCCGGTCCTTTCTGCTCGGCTTTCCACATGCCTCGCTTGTCCTTCTAGCCTGCTTTATCCCTCTGCACCTTTTGTTTTTCACCAAGTTCCAATCATTTTTTTCTCACTGTTCCCTTTGTGTAAAATGTACGGAGACCAAAAACTCACATGGAAGAGAAAGCTTCCCCTAAACATGAATAATTTAGTGCTTTCCCATCAGCTGGATTTAGAACATGTTAATTCTTAGAAGCCATGGAGGAATACACAAATAACTGATCTGTGCTATAAAACCCACATTTCATTTGAGGAGGAGAAACTAAATTAATGAAATAAATCATCATCCAGAAAACAAAGGGGAAAGTTACAGTGCTTTATCCTCAGGTCAATCTGCAACCATGCTACATCACTTACGTTTGATCAGCAAGCACTAATTAATTCATAAAAATTAATGCTGCTTATAACAGAAATACACTAAAGTCTCTGGGGCTGCCAAGAAATTTAAGGCAGAGCAGCTAGGTAAAAGAACATTTCCCTTGTCTGCTCAGTAACTTAGCCTGACATTTCCAATATAACTCTCTTTCTGGCTTTGAACTACCAAAGTTTGTACTTACTACTGAAATTAAATTGTTTCAGATTTTACAAAAGACACTCTATTGAAGACATAAAGGTCTTTAAAATGTGTAAATAAATGTTCAATTTGAGGAATATGAAGAAAGCAAGTGGAAAAGCTCACAAAGCTATAGGCAGAAAATATTAATTACAGCATTGCTTATGATTGTGATACACTATAAACTGTAAATATTCAATGCTAAGGGATTTCTTTCTTCTACAATGATAATGTCATACAATGAATTCCTATGTAATACTCAGTATGATGGCATATACAAATGTTTATGCATATGGAAAATGAGAAAGTGGGTTAAAACAGGAAATCTTTTTTTCTTTTGTAAAATGTTTGTGTGTAGCTAGGCATACACTTGTAAGCCCATACTTGACTATGCATGGAAATATCTGAAATGACAACCAGGTTGTCTTTCTGGGGTAGATTTGTCAGATTTTCTTTCATTTTTATACTTGTCCAATTTGGAAGAATGACAATTATATAAAACGTGAAGTCTAATGAGTACTGGTCACAAGGATTCTCTGCAATGTTTGAAAGTTACAGCTGAGTTCCGTGGAAGGTGAAAGAAGCTATCAGACAGGATGTTTTGAAAGGTAGGCAGTCAGAGGCACAAAGAATAGCAGTAAACAGTAGAGAAGACACTGCTTAGAATATTTATTTTTTGTCTTTAAGTTGCATGAGGCATGGGTTACATGTAATAGGAAGAAGAAAGGGCATGAGGACATCCAATGATTGTCTTGCATTTATCTGGTATTTGAAGCAAACTAATGTAGTGGAACATTCCAACAGGGAATTTATTACAGGCCTTTGCCCATGGTGAGATCACAGGCTGCTGCTTTGGCTATATGGGGAAGTACTAAAACCCCATTTCTAGGCCAGGTGGTAGTGGTGCACACCTTTAATCCCCACATTCGGAAGGCAGAGGCAGGCCAGTCTCTGAATTCGAGGCCAGCCTGGTATACAGAGTGAGTTCGAGGACAGCTAGGGCTAATTATACAGAGAAACTGTCTCAAAAAACCAAGCCAAACCAAACCAAAAAAAAAAAACAACTCAATTTCTAGGTTAAATAGTAGTGACTGTTCATATGTAAGTGAACAAACAAACACTTTTGAGTTTTGTAAGGGCCGAGAAAACAGCTTTGAAAGAAGAAATTAAATTCTAAAATATCTAAGAGGAATTTAGTAGCATGAGTTCTGAAGGCTGCGAGAAGCCAGGAGAAGCCAGTCAAGACTGTTAACAGCACAACAGCAAAAGGACTTGACACCAGAAGAGAGGAGAAACTGTCAAGCATCTGGGTGAGAAGACATGTCCTGAGGTTTGGGATTTGTTGAAATTTTAAAGTGTTTGATCATTTTCTTAAACCAGCTTCCTACTAGCCAGCCTGGCTGGTCTCTGACTGTTTACGTGGATCAGAGCAGCTGTGACCTTCCAGAGACCCACCTGCCTCTGCTTTCTGAGTGCTGGGAGCCACGGTGCGCGCGCAGCACCACTCCTGACTCTATGTGGGTCTTTGAGGTGATTGAAAGGCAATCTGAACCGAAGGAAACTGAATCTTAGCATATTAATCCTGTGAAATATTTCTGAGACATTTGTAATATATATGCTGAAAGAAACTACTGGTTGTATTTTAATGACTGCCTATCAAAGACTTCTAAACAATTAGCCATTTTCTATGTTTGAAAAGCTATCTCCTGGGAGAAAAAAAAAGGATTTGGTAACTGCCTTTCCCTTTATTTGGAAGTATGTTTTGTTGTTAGTAAAAGATGTTAGCATTAAGACGAACCTTAGAGATCACAGTTTAAACACCCCATTTTGCAATTGGGGAAAAGCAGGACCAGAGGTCTAAAAACTACTGCCAGGGTATATCTGTTATATAGTCATATTTCCAAATGGGAATTGAGAATTACAAGGCACCACCAGATAAGAAAAAGCCTTATGCATACTGGTTTTAACCAACTATTTTAAATTCCAGAGAAAAATGACCTCTTCTCAGTAGCCAAATGTACTTTATTTATCCCTACCCACAGAATAGAAATAAAAAAGGGAATTTGAAGAGATACACGGTGTCTACCCACTTCATATTAATCTTTATTAGTGAAGACAAGCTCTTGGTGGCTACTAGACTCTTAAAAGGTAAGTGCTGATCTTTGAAAAACAGAAAATTTTCACAAACTATGAGGTTTAGCTAAAATATAGGACTTTTAGGTGGACTGGGATCTATGGCTAGATATTTAAAGAACTCCTCTGTGACAACTCTAAGAATTACACAACATGATAAAGTGGCCGTTATTTCTCGAGATACAGATATTTCAAATGTGATTTGGTTGATGCCTAGTTTGAAATCCTTAATAAAACTTTACTCCGAAAAGCACACATTCTTAAAGCAAATTGCACTCTATTGAATTCATTTTTCACTTTGACTTCCTTTATAAAACTAGTGATGGATCTCCGTACATCCTGCGTGCCCCTGTGTAATATAATAGCACGTCAGCAGACACAGAGAAACGGGATGGATGCAGAAATAACGAAGAACTGCAGAAATAAAGTGGGCGCTGTGGGGCTTTAAGTAAAGAGACGGAATTAAACTCAAAGAGAAGGAAACATTTTTTTTTCCCAAGCTGGGCCTTGAACTCCAACTTCCAACATAATTAGCATTCCAAGAGTAAGGAAAAGGTCAGATATTCTCAGTGTCCAAGTTGCTTTTATTCCCACTCAAAAGTCAAAAGGCTCTTCTTCCTTTTGCACTTTCTTTGTTCTCTACCAGAGGAAAAACCCCTCTCTGTTCTAACTGCTGCTACCAAGTACTCCCGAAGTGATTCATTGTTGCTTAAGAATGTTAGTGTTCCTGTCTCTCAAACTAATGCTCAAAATTTAATAAACATGAAATTCATATAGCATTTACACATTTCTTCTGTCAAGCATAAAAATATAAAATATAAATTTGCTGAAGTTATATCAATAACTTATTAAGTGATTCTCAGAGTGAAATTTATACACAATAATGTGGGTAAAATCTGAATACAGGTTAAACAGAATTTCATAAATATTTCTTCTGTAAAAAATTCACTTGTTCACTTTTGAAATTCTTACTAGTTTGAGGGCAAAGTGAAAGGTTGTGGATATGGGCTATTTTGGTATGAGAAACACTTTTCTTGATTAATGATCATTCTGGTATTGGACAATCTCATTATTCACTCTGTGTATGTACGCGTGTGTGCAAATGTCTCTATAGAAGTAAAAATATTACTTGATTCCTATCTTTTATCTTCTTCTATGGAAATATTTACGTATTACTTATCGTACATCTTGTGGCCAACATGTGATATGATAATGAATGCGGAATGAATGATCAACTCTTCTCAAATGAGACAATACATTAGTTCTACATAATTTCAAGCACTTTTTCTCAAAAACATTCTATTTACTTTTGGATACTCTGTTTTACAAACAAACCAGTGTTTGGAGAGAAAGAAATTGGTAAAGAGCTTGCTGAGCAAGCATGGGGACATTTCTATGGATCCCTAGCACCTATGTTCATCCAGTCATGGTGGTATGTATCTGTAATCCCCAGGCCCAGGGAAAGAAAGACAGGTGAATCCCTGAGGCCATTAGCCATATATTCTAGCCAAATTGATGCGCTGAAGGTTTAATAAGACATTCTGACTCAAAAAATCAGGTGGAGAGTGAATGAGAAAGACACTTGTACTGACCTGTAGTCTTCTGCACACGTGCATATTCACACAGGCACAGGTGCATACACACGTGCATATACCCACAGGCACAGGTGCATACACACGTGCATATACCCACAGGCACAGGTGCAAACACACGTGCATATACCCACAGGCACAGGTGCATACACATGTGTGAGCATGTACAAACACCACACACAAACACAACGATTTGACTGAGTTTTTAAAGTATTATCCCAAATTAGTAGAGTTGCAGAATTGGAAGAGAAGCTGAAGAGACCATCTGTTTCTGGTCAAACCTCTTCATTTTAGTGTCTCATAGCATTAAAGTACTTAAGCAATTTGCTCAAGATGACATGTTAGGTACTCAAAGCATCAGAAGAGAAAAAAATATTGCTATAAAAGGATTCTATTCTTTTAGACTTATTCTGACTTTGCACTTCTTTCTTTTGTTTGTTTATTTCTTTTTTCTTCCTTTCTTTTTTTTGAGGCAGAGTTTCTCTGCATAACTCTGACTATCCTAGAACTCACTCTGTAGACCAGGCTGGCTTTCAACTCAGAGATCTACCTGCCTCTGATCCTGAGTCCTGGCAACAGCACCTGGCAACATCTCTCTCTCTCTCTCTCTCTCTCTCTCTCTCTCTCTCTCTCTCTCTCTCGTATGTTTTGCAGGCTAAACCAAAGATCTTGTTCATGTTAGAAGAGCACTCTATCACTGAGACATACTTAGTCCTTCAAATGTCAATTAGAATAGTGTATAGTCCTGGAAAGAACTGGAAAAGAACAGCCCATATGGGAAACACCTGTTGTAGAATTTGAGTCAAAATTTAGAGAGTTATGTTCCAAGCATGAGAACCAGTATATTTCCCATACACATCTCTCACGAGAGACAGGAAATTGCTAGAAATCAAGACTGTTTTAGAAAGCAGAATCTAGTAGCTTTAGAGTTCCATGTTGGGAGCAGCTAGAATGTTGCTTGGTGAGAAAGAAACACAGTGGGGGTGGGGCACAGGAAGAACAGAAAAGGGAAGAAAAGGAATGAGCAAGATGTGTGCACAAGTCCAAAATTTTTGAACTAAGGAGTAATGTGATGGAAATTGTGTCCTAGGTAGAATATTTCTGTACCGTTTGCTCTTATTGTCTGAAATACACGAATGGTTTCAGAAGCCCCCATGAAACAACAAGCCCACTACATTTTCTAGTAGATAATGTGCTATAGTTTGCAGAAACAGTGTTGTTTTCCCAGGATATTTTGAAATATTTTTTTAAAAAAATTGTAGTGACATTCAAGATAAAAAATACTTGAAGGGACAATCATTTCAATCTTCCTTTTTTCTTATTGCATAATGTTCCCAATTACCATCTCTGCTGTGCCTCTGCAGTGGAATGTGTGATACCCCATTCCAGTCACGTATTACACTAAACTAACGCATGTGGATGTGAAGAATTCTTTGCTTCTTATAACTGAGACCTTCTTGCTTCTAATATCACGGAGACCTCTTTAAAAGCTAAGACCATTGATCAGACGATTTCAATTGCAGAATTCATAGCACCGTACATAAGGTAAGGTAACTGGTTTTTGCTTGATTAATGCCAGTAAGAATTAGATGACAACAGTTGACATATGGAAAATTTCTGAAAACAAAGGGCTCATATGTTGCCTGAAATGCTGTATGCCGCCTCCAATTCTTTTTCATTAAGTTCACATGCAGTAGAGAAAAGATATCCAGACATTTGCAGTTATCGCCCCTTTCCTTTTCTTTCCTGTAAAACGGCAATCATGTTTTCTTTTCTCACTCGTTGAAACATTTTTTCCCCTCATGTTTTATTCTTTTTAAGGACCGATGTTACAAATGTGGCCATTGCCATTTTATATTTTGGCCTGATTAAAAGTTTAAAATATAGCCAGCAAATAAGCCTCTCTATTTTTGAAAATACCATATCCCACTGTTGCCTCCAACTTATCACTAACATGTAGATTTAAAAAATCATGGACGAAATATTGAGATAAATATTGAGATTCTAGGATACTGAGTGCAAGCTTGCAGGAAAGCCTTGCAAAAGCAGTTCTCTTCTGTTCTTCGAAATCTGTTATTCAAATCAATTTTTAAATAATGATGTCTTTATTAGTGAAAATTGCTTTATTCTACACTACAGAATACTATGATGATGAAAAGCTTATATGATAAAGTTAGACTCACTGTGAATAGGTCTTAAAGATGCCCTTTACTAATTGGGTCACTTTTGGAAACTTATTTAACCTCTCTGTCCCCCATTTGCTTCAAATGCTAAGAAAGTATTAGAAGGAAATCTACCTTTCACTGTTGCTGAAAGAATCACAGGGGCCAAACACTATGAAATGCTTAGAGCAGTGGACGGAATATAACACATAGCCTGCATTAATTACTAGCATTATTATTATTTTATTGTGGGTAGAGTTCTTACAGCAGTGGTTTCAACTTAATAAAATCTTGTGTTCCTCTTCCGTGTGAGGGTTGTCTGTTGGAATTGCAGACAATTTACGCTGACTAGAAAGAAGGGGCAAAATGCTTGTTTGTAGTCATACTACCTCAGGCTAGTAACTACTCCCGCTATTGGATACATTTCATTCTAACTATTATTAAGCTCACTTGTCTTTTTATACCTCTCTTCATGACCACTCCTTTCATAGCCACTGTTGAGAGTACAAAAATATGCTTAAAAATAAGTGGATTAGGAAACCCAATCAAATAGAAAGTGGGAAGCTTGCTTCTCGTCTGTGCATTTCCCAGCTCCTTGGGTACCACTGGGCACTTAGCAGCCCAGCTCTGCTCTTTTGTCCCCCATATGCTTATATGAGCCACACAAAGAACCCTAGTGCTTCCCTTTACCTTCTTTAGCAATGATGCAAGATATAGTCATTCATTTCTCAAAGCAGACTGACAGGGCAAAGAAGAAAGTAGGCAGAAAATCAAAAAGTTTAGTGTACCTACAGGCGATATGCTTCAACAAAATCTAAGAGATCAAATGATAAAAAATTGCTATAATCTTCTTAGCTGCAGGAACTCTGGAGAGGGTGTCTTTAAATTGTTAATTATAATGTGTTCTGCCTTTTAAAGGATGTCCTTTGGTTATGCGTTCAGTGTAATGCCAAAGAGAATTCCATAACAAACATTCACTAATTTTATTGCTTTTTTTATGACACTGTGATAAGCCAAGAGAGAACTCTGAAATTAGGATCGCTGTGTTCCCCATTTAAATTTACTCTAATGTCTTAATATGCATCTCTCCTGTGGTTATGAAACAGTCCCATTTTAATCTAACCTGAACCCTCAAGTATCATTTCCATTCCAAGCAAATGAATGATTCATTTATTCAAAATAAAATGTATCATTCTGAAATTGGGTGATTTACATAAACATACGAGACATTAGCTACCTGTGCTAGGAAAATGAGGAGAATTTTGTCATCTTTATTCACATCTGGATCCCCCCAGCCCACCCCAATTTTTGCCTACCTAATGTTGAGAGACTTTTTCCGAAGTTCACTCCACTTGAAATTCATGTTATCCAAACGTCTTTCTAACAGGGCTGCTTCATCTGAACTTTCCAGGGACCTCAAGATTTTTTTGGCCATTTTCATCAAGATTGTGATAGATGTCCATGTGAGCTTCAATTTCACCTTGGAGATCCTACCAAACAGCAGGAAGAACACATTCAGAATTATCAAACAAAGAGACTAGCTGTGAATGTAAATTTGGAGAACTTATTAGTTCAAAGAAATTCTAATTTTACAATTTGCAGAATACACCCTGCGTCATTTTTCTTGGGGTCCTGCCTCATGAAGTTATTATGGAGAATAAGAGTAAATACCATATTAGATGTAATAAATGTGTTTCTTATTTTATGAATTAGAAGTAATACATTTATAGGACATTTCATAAGTTAAACTTTCTAGTCCATGAATGAAATATTCTGATAAACAAAAATATATATGTTTTATGAAATAAAATAACATGACAAAGGAGATCCCAGTGGTAATCATTTCATTACAATGTGAGTCGAGTTGTACTTTCAAAGCACCTATTAATCCACTGTGTTGACTGTGACCATAAAAGCATGGAAAAAAAGGATAACAAAGGTTGTACATAGTCCAAAACACCAACACATTAATGGGACTCTATGAGACAAGAACATCTTCTTGAAAACATACATTAAATTCCCCTTAGTGTTATAGCATCATACACATATTACAACACTAGGCATTGATTATTAAGCATTTGATACATCATTTAAGAATATTATCATAGTTTCAGGCTCAGCAGGTCAAAAGTGTCCTTGGCAAGTTAGGACCTTGGTAAGAGTTAAGAAAAGAGGTATGCATTAAGTTTCATTCGTATAGACAGAAATAAAAAGACATCATAATATAAGAATCTGACCTTTACATGATATGTCTTCCTGTGCAACATTTTCAGCTTGAACCGGGGACTACAGCACTTATCTTGTTGCATAGCAAACCTAAGACAACCCAGAAATGGAATGGGCCCTGCTTTAAAATGCCAACTTTGCTTACGTTCTGTCGGCAGAATGAGTTTAAGAGCACAGGCTTGGACAGTCGATAATCATAATCAGCCACATTGTACTGCTGGCTAAATGGTAGCCAGGCGTGTGGATGTGGGAGAGACCTCAAAGAATGGAGGCCTGGAATATGCAACTGACAGTTTGTATTAAACAGCCAACTTTTCTTATAATTTTGCCATAATAAGCCAGAGACATTAGAAATTCATTTTATATATGTGTTTCCCTCCTTGTTCCCAGCAGAACAGTCGAAGCCAAAGGAACATTCCTTAGAGAGCTGCCGGGCTCCAGCATTCCATTCTGCCTACACAATGAATGGAGGCTTTGTACGTTATTTGACTTGCTCTTACAGATTTGTATGCTTCTCTTCAACAAGTTTAAAAATTCATTCTGAAGCTCCAAAAAATCAGCTTGATCTGTGTGGCTTAAAAAGTTTTCTTTCCCCGCCCCCCATCTGTAACTCTTTCTAAAATTTAATTAAATGCGCTGCCGCAGTAAAGAGGGAAGTGGCAGCAATAACATGATAATAATTCTAAAGACGTGTCTCCTGTTTCCGGTCACATTCACTTGCAATGCCGAAGTTTGAGAGCTGCAGAAATAAGGTAGATGGACCACAAATGTTTCTTGTCACTATTTTTGGCAGTCAAACTAGCCCTGTTGGACTCCATATACTGGAAGAGGAATATAGATGGCATGAACTCAGATGCTAAAGGAAGGAAAATAATAAAACAGATGGAAGAACATCTATACTTATCACATAAAACTTGGGGCGGTTTGGGGATGTTATAGCTGGATTTACAAACTAGAAAATATAGTAGAAAATTATTCATGAGTTTCTTGCTGCATGGAGCTTAATCAGATAGACAGCATTTCCAGGATTTTCTTTATTCTCTTTCAGTCTCTGTGGGACACTGGAACATATTTCTCTCTCTCTCTCTCTCTCTCTCTCTCTCTCTCTCTCTCACACACACACACACACACACACACACACACACACACACACTCACTATGTTGCCCAGGTTGGGCTAGGACACATAATTTTTTTCTCATTCTTCAAAATTATATTTTTACACGCATGCAACACCATACTTAGATTTTTTTTCTCCATTTTCTAAATCTATATGGTAGACCTGATTTACCATTTCTTCAGCAAAAGAGAAAGGTGAGCTTATTGAAGTTAGGGTAAATACCAGACCTAATTTTGCGAGCATTGCCTTACTTCACTTCTTTCTCTCTCCCTTTGTTTGCAAACCACCTAAAGTTTTTCTTTCCCCCAGGGGATGCATTCGGGGAACCAAAACAAATCCTGTGCATGATATTCAGGGAAACTAACATATTATCTCTCTCTCTTTCTGGAACTGAGCTGATTCTTAGGGCATAACATATGTAAGGCCTCTACCACCACTGAGATACAACCCCAGTTACAGAAAATAATTTAACCAATGGAATGACTGTGTAAACATCCTAGGTATATAAATGATCACACATTTGATTTTTTCTATCTTGCCCTGATAGCAAAGACCCTGTCTTAATTGCTAGTTACTTAAACTCATATGCAATGGGAAACCATCAACATGTTTCTTTGCTGAATAAGTGAGGAATTCTGAGGTGCAAACAGAATGCCGATTCATTAATGTGCTAATTTTCTTCTTTTTCATGACTGAGTAAAGTCTACTGCATATAAATATCTTTGTTGTCGCATTAACAAAGAAAGGAACAGAAAATGAATAAGCAAGTATTTATCTAGTACCAATTATTTGTTTAGTCTTGGCATCATGGGAAATATAGAAGGAATGCAAGTGATAGTTCTGTCTTTAATTTTAAACACCAAGTGTGTGTTTTTCTTTGAATTCATTTATATGATCAACTAAATATTGATGAGGAATTCTTGCCAAATCTCATAAACATTAGGAACAAAATTCCTCCTTTCAGCAAGGAACACTGCCTGAGATACTGTGTTAGTGTTGGAAGGTAAAACTGACGTCACTTACAGTTTTCTATGGCATGATGATAGTGTCGAAGAACAAGCTATAAAGGTGCCATAAGGGCTCTGTGTGTCACCGAGTTCTTCTGAGTTTATCACCGTAGTTATTGCTTCTTCGCCCTGGCTCCTGGTGAAGCACATCTCATTTTCTATGTGTCGCAGATAAGAGAAGTTTAACTGACTTGCTTACAGTCACTTATCTGGCAAATGTTACAACTGGGAAATTGATCCAGTTTTCTTCACTTTGCCAGGTTCTATGCTGTTTCTCCTAACATATTGTGTATGAGCACTTGATGAATTCCACAGTAGTTATTGAAGCTTCAAAAGGAAACTGCACTGGTGAAAGAATAGAAGGCTGGGAAATAGTATGAATATATTTGATTAAAACCCCACACAAAATATTTGCTCACATGGGTCCCTTGTTTTGAGTGAAAAATGAAATTCTGACTACATTTTTCATTTTGCCACACACCATTCAGGAAAGTACACTGAAATTGTCTCTTTACTATAAAATATATCTGCTAGGAGAAAAGAAAATAGCCCACTGATTGATCCTTTTGTTTACAAGGCCTTTGGGGCAATTAGTTTCATCAGCAATGACGTAAAATATCAATATAAGCAGAGTTCTGTCATATTCCTTTGGGGCGGCAGACTAGTGTTCAATCTGTCAAACTATAGGACTCACACACAGTCTTGAACCATAAGTGAATATTGTTGGGGGACACAGGATTCTCTCTTAAAGGTTATAATGGAGATTTTTTCACGACCATCAGGCAGTGTGAACTATAGGTGGAGAGGAAACATAGATGCAGCAGGTAGGATGCGACATAAGTCTATTTGAGTTAAGCTATCAGGAGGTCACTGGCCTTAGGCTGGTATTAGATTTAGGAGACATAGAAAAGCAACAAGTTGGCAAAGAAAATAAATAGGATTATCAGAAGATAATCAATCTGAATACAAGATACTTTTCATAGAAAATATTAGTTTTATTTTCTTTCTGAACTAACCAGAAAAAAATCACTCAAGTCATAGGTACTACAACCATTTTGGGATAACTGGCTTTTCTTTGTTTTCATTGTGATTGTATTTCTCTAGGCAAAACAATAGCTAGTGAATAGTGGAAAATATTATCTATATAAACAGCAACATACGTAAGACTTATGATGAACTAGGCACAGCTCAATGAACTGTACATGCCGAATCTTATTTAATTTTTTCAATAATGCTCGATAGCAAACACTGTTACTATCTTCATTTTCTATGTAAGAGAATGATTTTACAACACTGTTAAAAATGCCCAAGATCACATAGCTAACAAACAGTTAGCTGTAAGATTTTGAACCTAGATACTTATACTTCAGTAGTTATGATCTTAACCATAAGGGTACATTTCCTCTGAGCTTTTAAATAACTGGTGGTAACTTTTCCTATTAATAATACTCCCACGTGAATTTCAGTAAATATAACATTGCTGTCAGGTAGTGAAAACTATTATTGTTTTCAGTACTCCAAGAAGGACGTGATCTTATTCTGCAGTGTGTTAAATAGAACTGAAGCGGTGAATGGAGATACAAAGAGAAGAAACATGAAGTTGAGAAAGTAAGTGCAAATGGAAAAATGCTATGCACTCCTGGAAAGGAAAATTGTATAAAATCTCTCTATAATTATGTAGAAAGTTCATCAGTGAGCACCAAGAAGGCTCAGACATTATATAAGAAATCTGACCAGGGTTTACAGTATCAGTGAGTGGGTATGCTACTTCAGGTATGAATTTTGGAAAGACTACATGCCCTCTTTTCCTGGGAGTCTAATCTCTTGTTATAAATTCTCTCTTTTCAGCACCCAAGGAAAGCATAAGGCAAAGCAGCTAAATAGGCGTAAGTTTGATTCTTCCTCTTCCTTGTTCCCCTTTCATGTCTCCGGCTTCACTATATATTAAACAATACCTAAATAGCTGGGGTGTTTCTTCAGATGCTCCAGGGAGCAATTTTGTAAAATCTTTTGCACAGCATCCAGAACACAAGTCTTTAATAAATGATAGGCAATAGAAGGCCTTCAATTAGAAGGAGGTCCAGATGGAAACCAAGAGATAAAAACAAGACTTCATGAAATGATGAGATGCTTCTCGAG